CCAAAGAATGAGTACAATTGCAGACGCTTCCACTTGGTTTTCCCCCTGGCCATAGCTCTTGCCCTAAAGCCCAAGAAATCAATGCACAATGTGGTTATACAAGCCACAAAGTATGCCTATTCCAATTATGCATTCAGTGCCTGGCAAATGAGCCCTATGAAGTAGACTGAGATTGTTGTTACTGTTGCTGTTGCTGTTTAGTCACTAAGTCATGTCTGATTCTTTGCAACCTATGTACTGTAGCCCACCAGACCCCTGTCTATGGGATTCCCCAGGGAAGAATACTGAAGTGGTCACCATTTTCTTCTCTAGAGAAGTTTTCCAACCCAGGGATGAAACCCGTATCTCCTGCAAAGGCAGACAGAGTATATACCACTGAGCCACCAGGTTGTCAGTTCAGTCACTCAGTCATGTCCTACTCTTTGCAACCCCATGAACTGCAGCACGCAGGGCCTCCCTGTCCATCACCAACTCCCAGAGTTTACCCAAACTGATGTCCCTCAAGTCAGTGATGCCATCCAACCATCTCATCCTCTGTTGTCCCCTTCTCCTCCTGCCCTCAATCTTTCCCAGTGTCAGGATCTTTCCAATGATGCATGATCTTAGTTTTCTGAATATTGAGCTTGTAGCAGTCTTTAAAATGTAGGGATAGTCTATTCTCACTAGTACACAGTTCCATGAACAGATGCCAGTACATCATTTAGTGAAGCTCTTTTAATGAATGCTTATGAGAATCCTTATATATGTACAGTTGTTTCCATATTACAATCTTTCTCCTTGGGGTCCCAGACTGTTCTTTCATCAATGAGTTTAGTGTCTTGCAACTGGTTTAAGTCTAAAACCTAGGCAAGAAGTAGGGAATTTTGTATTGAACTAGCTTTCCCATGTCTCTGGATTATTCATCTCAAATTTATTTTGTCTAAATTCAGAAATTCATTTTGGGGTATCCATCAATTCTAACCTTTTGGAACACTGTGTTCTTATATCCAGCCTCGCTTTCTGTGGATCAAGTAACTTCTGAACTTCTCACTCATTTTGACTTATAACAAGCACCACAAATAAAAATGGATTTGATTTGGGAGAGGGGGAAGAATCCTTTAATCCCAGTTACTACAAGTTATTCCATTCTAAGATGACATCACTTATATTCAGTCTGGGATGTCAGAGAGCCGACCTTGATCTTAGTAATGGTGATGCCCTTACACTAACACATTTCTTATAGCTTTGGAGAATAGTGTGTCCTCTAGGTTTTCCAATGAAGCATGGGGAATCGTATGGGAATATGAAAAATGGGGAACATTTTTTTGTCCTCCCATGGAAATGAATCTTCCCTTTTGGCCTTATTTAGACTATCTACCCCAGGACCTCCACTTTTCTAAGCAATTTAACACCTTTTTCTTTTTGCCAGTGAGATCACAACACTTTTTTCCCCTCGTTTACTGAGGACTGTAGCTTTGTTCATGGCTTTAGGTGTATGTTAATGCATTTGTACTAGCTTAACTGAACATTAACTCCTTGGAAGGAAAGCTATGACCAACACAGCATATTAAAAAGCAGAGACATTACTTTCCCAACAAAGGTCCGTCTAGTCAAAGCTATGTTTCTTCCAGCAGTCATGTATGGATGTGAGAGTTGGACTATAAAGATAGCTGAGTGCTGAAGAGTTGATGCTTTTGAACTGTAGTGTTAGAGAAGACTCTTGAGAGTGCCTTGTACAGCAAGAAGATACCATCAGTCCATCCTAAAGGACATCAATCCTGAATATTCATTAGAAGGACTGATGTGGAAGCTGAAACTCCAATGCTTTGGCCACCTGATGTGAAGGATTGACTCATTTGAAAAGACCCTGATGCTGGGAAACATTGATGGTGGGAGGAGAAGGGGATGACAGAGGATGAGATAGTTGGATGGCATCACCAACTCAATGGACATGAGTTTGAGTAGGTTCCAGGAGTTGGTGATAGACAGGGAAGCCTGGCGTGCTGCAGTCCATGGGGTCGCAGAGTTGAACACTACTGAGTGACTGAGCTGAACTCCTATATCCCGTAAGAGTGTTCCAATAACAGAAACCCCTTATCCATTTTTATATCTTGCCTCCTACACTGCAGTAGACCCAGGTTCAATCCTGGGTCAGGAAGATCTCCTAGAGAACAAAATGGCAACCCACTCCAGTATTCTTGCCTGGAAAACCCCATGGACGGAGGAGCCTGGTAGGCTACAGTCCATGGGGTCTCAAAGAGTTGGACAGGACTGAGTGACTTCACTTTCTCTGTTATCCAGCATCAACAGAATCCAATTACAGCTATATTCTCCTATTATGTGCTAGTCCAGGCTGGTTGGATTCTGTAGCTCCCTTGGGGAATAACCTTTTTCTTCCCTTATTTGGTCACAATAACCTCTGGTAGGTTATTTGGTATTGTCACACTAGCTATAGCATACAAGTTAAGATAGGGTACGAAGAAGATAGGGATTTTATTACAATTTAGTAGCCTCTGTATTAATTTTAAGGAAAGGAGAGTGTTAATTTTTCTGATTTGTAGTCAGATGCATTATAGATAGGATCACTAGCTCCTCTAAGGGAGTGTGCTAATTTTGAACAGGGAAGAGGAGTATACTTCTAAAAGCTCAGGTAGTTCATGAAAATCTCCACAGCCTAATATTCTATGAATGATGACCTAGTTTAACAGATCTGGTTTGGATTAGAGTTGTATGTTCTTTGGTGCTTGATTACTCTTGCAATTAAGTCCTCAGGCTGGTCTTCACTAACTCTTTGTTTCTCTCATTGCAGATTAGAGCGTCTTCATATTGGGTTGGCCAAAAAGTTAATTTCTGTTTTCCATAACATCTTATAGAAAATCCAAATGAACTTTTTGGCCAACCCAATATACTACCAAGGAGGCCTTCCAGTTTTCACAGTTGGCTTTTAAGTGCTAATTATCCATTTCAGTTTTAGCTATCTTTACCAAGAACATTGATAGCGTCACCACTAAATTCTACTGGACCAAATAAAGCAATCCTTTTCAACAGCATAAAATACCAGTAGACCACAGATAAAAGGCTTTATGTTTGAAAGGCTACCTTGTAACAGCAGTTCTTTGTTTGGCCCCTGCCAGCAACAATGGGGCACTCAGCGCAGGCTGGTCGGCAGGTCATTCAACTCTTAAATGCCATCCCACTATCTGCTTTTGGGGCCATTCCTTATGGCAAATACCGTGGGTTCAATTTTCTGTGATATAGACTCTGAAACAGAGATTTGCATTCAGGAGTTGTGTTAGGGTGATTTGATAGATGGAAAGAAAGAAATCATGTCTGGGCAGGAAGTCGAGAGTAACATAGTTTCAGTGAGAGTATCAGATGAACCTAGGGGTCTTCTAAAGCTGGGCTGAACAAGCAATGTTGTTTTGAATTAAGGCATCAATTTGCCACATTGATCCAATAATGGATTAAGGGTAAACCAAAATGTGAGTGTGACCTTGCATGAGTTTGCTCCCTTCAGCCAGGTTATCTTCACAGGTGATGCTGAAAGTTAAAGGTCTCCTGCCAGCAGTAAAGCCCATAGCTGTGGAATAAACCCTTTATACCTGGAGAAGAATCTGGGTAGCTGCAGCACTCTAATGTAAAAAAAAAATTATTTTAATATAATAAAAGATTAGTTATAAAATATACACTGAGAAACATATCATAGAAATGCAAGTATTAGATTGCTAACATCTAAACTTACATATTAATAGCAACTAACACACTGAAGAAAATATCTATATACACATATTTTTCTGTGTCACAAGACACATTGGTTATCTAATCTATAAACCACATCTGGAAGAAACAGTATTTGTGGACCCTGATCATTCCACTACCTCCAGGAACTGAACGGTCATAAACTGGCTTTAACCCAAACTACCTTGTGTTCACATTCTGCCTCTGAAAGTCAGTTAACATGGATAGGTTCCTCAATCATCTTTCTTTTGATAAATATATGAATGTTACACAAAGGTGTTTACATAAATGTCACCAAGAGAATCTGTTCTACTAAGTGGCATGTATATCTATCCTTATCTTGAAATAAGCAATGCATGAAATTTGCACATATATTTTTCACTTTGATAGTTCAACAATCCCTACAGCTTTGAAAACAGCATATTGACATTTCATTAAGACCTTATGATTTAAATAAAAGAGATTAGTTGATCTGTTATCTAATTAAGTTTTGCTATGAATACACAGTAATTTTATAATTCACATTTACTTTTACAAATGTCACAGCTCAAAGTTCAACTCGAAATCATTATGAATTTGTTATACAAAATATTTCTTGAAAAATTTGAAAGGCAAAAAGTAACTGAAATAAAGGACAATATGCTAAGTATAATGAGAGTTGTAAATAACAATCCTGATTACTGAGCAGAAATAATTTGTGTGGTATTTCTGAATATGAACTATTCTGATAGTCACTGTAATCCTCTTATGAGAGATTTTCATACTTTTCTAATATAAATGACATACTTATGAAATTCCCTCTGGATCATCACTAATTTAACAGAAAGAGTTTTCAGGTATTTAATAATCTCAACCAAAAAATATATTCTTTGACACTAAAAGAAAATAAGAGGCAAGCAATTGTTAAAACACATTAGCAGCATTAAAATATACTCTGAATCTCAGTAGGCAATACTGCTAAACTATTATGATGAGCAAAATAATGTTTATATATTGTTTGATTTTAAAACTTAGGGAAATGATTATTGTGGTGACATCCTATAATTTTACTGCAACATAGCTGTAGACATTGTCAGAAAATGATAAGCAGTTTTTTGAGTCAAAAGTTTATGACATTTGAAACTGGGTCTCCTTTGAATAATTTGTAAAACAGCTTTCTATAAATATATGATGAGCTTTCATATAATACATAGCTATTGTAGGGAATTTAGAACTATATAATAAATATGTGATTGTATGTGCAGTATGAAACATCATTGACTTTGTACTCTACTTTTTAAAAGGAAATAATGCCTGTTTTCCAAGTCCAAATTATAACCCCTTTACATGGATGTTTTTCCTGGTTTCATGTCCTAACTACACCTATGAGGTATGTTATATATCCATGCAGATAACTGAACTTTATTTGATAATATATGAGCTACATATGTTTATGTACTTACATGTATTATAGATTATGCATGATATGTATGTATGTTTAGTCTGTAGATACAGGCATAGACAGAGATATAGATGATGATACAGATTTCAATTTAAGTTATAACCATAGGAATTAGAATATTTCACTCACAATTTTCCCTGCAGAATAAACAGTATTTGTGCATATATCTGTCTATATTTAAAGAAAATTTTATAAACATCACATTAAATGTCTTGAGAAGCCTCTGGATTTTATACAAAATTCTGGAATAATGTCTTTAATTTTCTTAGTAACATGATACTGTTTTAAGAAAGTTTTTTAATCACTATCATATTTAAAAATGAAATTATAACTTTGGGAAATATATCTACTTAAAATTTCCCACTGTTTTAAGCTTTTAAAATACCTAATCAATGCCTATTTAAGTGTTCATAAGTAAACAAATTTCTAGATTGACTTCAATATTTGTTAATTTATGTTTTAATCTAACAGATTGGATCATGGATTAGTTTCACAATCATGACACAAACATTGCCAGGTAAGACCTAGGTTTACTAATGATTGAAGTAGATACACCTTTAGGAGAAGTGGTTTCTGAAAACAAACTGCTGTAATCCTGAAATTAGGCATGTTTGCAATGGGATTTTTTTGCCTTTATTTTTATTTTGGATTTTTTATCAGTATAAGATTGTATTGAAACATTATTTACTATGCATGTCTGTATAATTGTGGTTGCATGCTTGATCTTAGTCGCTCCGTGTGTGCGACTCTCTTGCAGCCCCATGGACTGCAGCCCGCCAGGCTCCTCTGGCCATGGGGTTCTCCAGGCAAGAAAACTGGAGCAGGTTGCCATTTCCTCCTCCAGGGGATGGTCCCAACCCAGGGATCAAACCCAGGTCTCCCACACTGTAGGCAGATTCTTTACTGACTGAACCACCAAGGAGTCCCAACTGTGGTTAATCCAAACTAGAAAATGTAGTCCAAATATATTTATTAAGCAACAAGTTTTTGTTAAAAGGAAGTGGTAATAACACACTTCACTTTAAACTCTCATGTGTACCCACAGACTTGTACATACTATTTCTTCAAGTGTTCACATCCATCTGTGAAGGGAAGAGGTGGGGCATGAATGTGTCATCTTGAATGCTGGTCATTTTAAAACACAAATAAGTTAAATGGCAATAAACTGCTTTTATTAGAAGGGATATATATTATTTCCATTTCATCCTTTTTGTTCCACTGTACAAAAATGTGGATTAGAATTTATGTTATTTATCTTATATGTATATATGTGTGTAGAAGAAGTGTTTTACACACATATGAACAACTATTATTGAAAAAATCAAAGGGATTTTAATAATTTCTTCTTTGGAAGTATTATGTGGCAGTGCGGTGTAAAAAAATGTAGAATTATTTCAATTTCTATATATTTATGTTTATTCAACCATGCAATATTGATTATATGTATATGATGCTAGGCAATATAAATAAGGAAAATTGATAGAGAATTATACGACCCTTGAAATATTTTAAAAGCTATTTTTTTCAAACATAACATTATGTCCATTAAAAAAAAAAACCCAATAATTATTTATTTTTTTCTTCTAGTTGGGATTTTTACACTTCTGATGAGTATCCAGATGTCTCTGTGGGCACAAAAGAAACATAAGATTTATCTGAAGAAATTCAATTCTTATATGCGTAGGAAATCAGCAATGATTCCATTTATACTGTAAGAAAAATAAGTGATCTTATCTCATGTACAGAAAAGCAGTATATTAACTCACTAAATGAAATTTGACCAAGGGTAATTGTCTATTATGTTCCAGAAATTCACATACAATAGTATTTTTGCTTATATAAAAATATATAAGAGCAAATATATATAAATTTATATATCAATATAGTAATTTAGCTGAATTTAGGGTAATAAACTTGAGGCAAATGAAAAGTTGAAATTATAAATATGGCTAATTGAAAATAGCATCCTGTGTGTTTGCAAGGGACTGATCCTTGAATGAGATGTTCTTACTTCATTAAATCTTTCATAATACTATTGGCTTAAGACAATTTAAAATATTTGAATTCTATAAAGTGGATACTGCAATATTTCAAATGAATTTTACATGTTATTTTGAGAGTAATTGAACAGAGAGTTCAATATGTTACTGGGAAATTTCAGATGTCTTGAAACTATTATGTCAGTAGTTCAATTTTACCTATATTAAAAGTTAAATATTTGTAATTAGCTATGCATCTTAGTTATTCATAATACACATTGTATGTCATTCTGGAAATACAACAATCAAAATATTTTATAGGCATTACTTATTAAACATAACTATAAACTATATACATATTTATATTTACATATAGATCATGTTTATATGTGAATATAGAAATAGATATATTCCAAATGGACAATATGTGATGATGAGGAAAGTGTGCATTAGAACGTTGAGATTAAGAGTGAAAAGATATTTTCTTTATTTTCACATTTTTAAATTTCTATGTCTCCTCAAATCCAGTGTATTAAGATTGTGCGTGTAAATATACATATATACTTTGACAGAGATGAATTATATTATAAAAATTAAATACATATTCATTAAAAGTTTAAAAGAAATCTTTACTCATATTTAAATTGGGTCTCTTTACATTGGTTAATTTCTAGAGTCTTTCCAGTTATTGGATATAAATGTATCTAAATAGATGGATACATAGACATACATATATCAAAATATTATTATGAAAACTCTTAGATATTTAGATATTTGACAAAATATCCTTGGTAAAGGTGGGTCTGAATGAATTTTGTAGGGTTTTTTTTTAAGGAAGCAATTTTTATTTTATTTTATTTTGCTTTTTATTTTTATTTATTTATTTTTCCCAATTATTTTTATTAGTTGGAGGATAATTACTTTACAATATTGTAGTGGTTTTTGCCATACATTGACATGAATCATTTCTTATTAAGATATGTGACCAACTATTCAAGAAATAACAAAATCATCTATTCAAAAGCTTTACCACTCCCAAGTGCACCTTATTACAGTATCTCAAAAGAATATGACAGCATATTTTAATTCACTAATAGTCATTCAGCAAAAGAGAATGAAACCACACTTATTTAATGTAATATTCTTTTCCAAGTATGCTACTGTATTTCCAAATGTATGATTACTTTCCTCTTATAAATGCAACTACATTCTCAAATTCTAAAATTCTTGTGTGTATATTTTCAATAATTGTGATTTTTATGTCAATGTAAATATTATGAAGATATTAGCAAGTGAAAAATTCTATGCTTTCAACAGAGAAAGACAAATATGACTCATCTCTACTTTAAATAAAGTATATATGTATGTTGGAGAAGGCTCTTGAGAGTCCCTTGGACTGCAAGGAGATCCAACCAGTCCATCCTAATGGAGATCAGTCCTGGGTGTTCATTGGAAGGAATGATGCTGAAGCTGAAACTCAATACTCTGGCCACCTATTACAAAGAGCTGAGTCATTGGAAAAGACCCTGATGCTGGGAAAGATTGAGGGCAGGAGGAGAAAGAGCGATGGAGAATGAGACGGTGCGATGGTATCACTGACTCAATGGACATGAGTTTGGGTAGACTCCAGGAGTTGGTGATGGACAGGGAGGTCTGGCGTGCTGCAGTTCATGGGGTCACAAAGAGTCGGACACAACTGAGTGACTGAACTGAACACATAATGTCAGCATCGAAGACTATGGGATTGGTCAAAAATAAGTTGCACAGATTGACAAAGGAGCAAGTGAGATGCTATCATCACCATACCAACTAGGCAAGAGTGCTCCATATGACCACTTAACATTCAAATTTTCATGTTCTATTTATTGATGAATTTGTTAAATGTTGGCTCTAGACAAACAGTAGAGGAGAGAAGGAAAGGCTATAATATGGCCCCTACTTTTTACATAGTTCACTTATTAGGACAGTGTTAGTTGCTTAGTCCAGTCTGGCTCTTTAGGCGTAGCACTAATCACTCATTTAGAAAAGGCAGAGGAACCAGAGATCAAATTGCCAACATCCACTGGATCATAGAAAAAGCAAGAAAATTCCAGAAAAAAACATCTACTTCTGCTTCATTTACTACACTAAAGCCTTTGACTGTATGGATCACAACACTGTGGAAAAGTCTTAATGAAATAGGATTACTAGACCACCTGAGAAACCTATATGTAGGTCAAGTAGCAACTCTTAGAACTGGACTTGGAACAATGGACTGGTTTCAAACTGGGAAAGAAGTGTGAGTACATTAAGGCTGTTTATTGTCACCTTGCTTATTTAACTTACAGGCAGAGTAGTAGGAAAGTACCTAGTAGTAGTAAGTAGTAGCAAGTACCTTGTTCTTGGTAGGAAAAGCTATGAGTGACCTAAACAACATATTAAAAAGCAGAGACACTATTTTGCCAACAAAGGTCCATCTAGTCAGAGTTATGGTTTTTCCAGCAGTCATGTATGGTTATGAGAGTTGGACCATAAAGAAGGTTGAGCACCAAAGAACTGGTGCTTTTGAAGTGCAGTGTTTGAGAAGAAGGAGGATAAGGGAGGATAGAGAATGAGATGGTTCAATGGCATCGTCGACTCGGTGGACGTGAGTTTGAGCAAATTCTGGGAGACAGTGAAGGACAGGGAAGCCTGGCGTGCTGCAATCCAGGGGTCGCAGAGTTGGAGGAAACTCAGTAACTGAACTGAACTGAATCATTCATTGGGGTGCAGCTTGTTTATATTTACAAAAGAATGAGTGCAGTTTCAGAGGTTTCCATTTGGTTTCGCCAAGGCAATAGTTCTTGCCCTATAGCCCAAGAAATTAATGCACAATGAAGTTATGCAAACTGCAAAGTATGTATATTCCAATTATCCATTCAGTTCTTGGGGAAATGAGCCCTATGGAGTATTGGACTATGTTTGCTATTGCTGTAGTTTCTAGTCACTAAATCTTGTTGACTCTGTGGTCCACAGACTGTAGCTTGCCAGGCTCCTCTGTCAATGGGATGTCCCAGGCAAGTATGCTGGAGAAGGTAGCTATTCCCTTCTCCAAGTGATCTTCTTGACCCAGGGATCTAACTCATGTCTCCTACATTGCCAGCAGATTCTATACCATCTAAGCCACCAGGGAAACCCCAATATAACTCATGAAGATAAAGCAAGTAGTTAGTAGAATTAATTTAATTGAAAACATATAGGAAGATAACTCCAATACTTTGGCCACCTGATAGGAAGAACTGCCTCATTGGAAAAGACCTTGATGCTGGGAAAGATTGAAGACAGGAGGAGAAGGGGACAACAGAGGATGAGATGGTTGAATGGCATCAATGACTCAATGGACATGAGTTTGAGTAAGCTCTGGGAGTTAGTGATGGACAGGGAAGCCTGGCATGCAGAAATCCATAGGGTCACAAAGAGTCAGACACAACTGAGCAACTGAACTGAAGCGATGAAGACAATTTTGGTTGTCTTATACCTTGGTCTACATGTATACAAAGGAATGGCTATTACCTCAACCTGTATATTCCTGTTAAAAATTGTCTACTGTGGTTGTATTAAATATCCTGGTTCACATGAGCAGTTTTTTCTCAGGCCATTTATCCATTATATTATATTAAAATGCATTTGTTCTTCATTTCTATCATTTTTGTGGAACATACCATTAATAATAAAATTTTTAAAAAGTTTAAAAATTAAAAATATACCATTACTGATTGATATATACAAATAAACCATTACTGATTGATATATACAAATATACCATGAGTGTTTCTTCTGAGATAGATCTATTAACTAATGATTACTGTCCAATAATGTTTTCATAGATGGAATTATACACTCATTTCCTTGGTGTTTAGTAACTCTCTTCTATTAACACAAATCTATGTGAATCAATTTAAGGGTTTTTCAGGAGGATGAAACAACCCAAATAGACAGGACCCACAGGGAAGTGAGTTTTTCAAATAAACCTACCTCTCTTAAAGTAGAATTTACTAGGGATTTCCCTGGCAGTACGGTAAGCTAAGAATCCACAATTCCACCTTTGGTTCTTGGTCAGGAAATCAAGATACCACATGCCACACATCATGGCCTAAATGTAAAAAATTTTAAAAATTAAAAAAAAATAAAGAAATGGGAAAAAAGTCAAAGTAGGACTTACTATGTCTTTACTAATAAAGGCCCCATTCCAAGCAAATGCTGGAAATAATCTTAAACAGGAGCAAGAAGAATCACAATTCACAGACCTTAACCTCTACCTCCAAATCATTTAATGTAACAATTAGAATCCCTGCAAGCTATAGTTTCTGTCTTCAATTTGAAGTATTAGAATGGTAGCTAATATCTTTCACTGAAATTTTATGATATAAGTATTCAAGATTTAATGAATTAAAGTTAGAATTTTCTGACAGACACTAGATTTGTAATTACATACAATATTAAAAAAAGCATCACAGTTAAATATAGCCATTGATAGCTAATTTTAAAATAATTGTCTGGAATAATACTTTTTCAACCCAAAAGTAAAAAATTTAAAGTTTTTTAAAAATACCACATCTTCATCTTTTACATATTTCTTATAAAAAGTAGCTGAAGAGAGAGAGAAATCAAAAGAAAAACAAGAGAACTAAAGTTGAATCAGCGGCTATACCACCTCATATTATCACGACCTTTGCCTCTCTTGACCACCCTTCCATCATTTCTACCTCAAGTTGCTATTTTAAAGGTATTTTTAATTTGATCGCATATTTCTTAAATTTCTAAGTTTAAATAAAAATAGACCCTTAGTACATTTTTTCTCTTCACAAAATATTGTGGAAACACTATTCTCTAACTCATATACAGGCAGACACAGTAATTTTTAGCAATATCATTTCTTAAAAGAGACAATACAAAATGGTAGCATAAAATATTTTTAAATAGATGAAACATTCTTATTTTTCAAATGTGCATCCTCAATTTTACTTCTCTATGAAAAATATTATGCTTAATATTGAAAGGTAATCAAATCACAAAATTCAACATTATAGTTGACTATCTTGCAAACTGACTTTTAATCTTCTTCCAGTAATTAAACTTATTTTCTCGATACTTTAAGTTCAATTTTGAATAACTATCAATACATGTTAAATTTTAACAGTTGATGTATTTCAATGATAATATTTGTGCTGATAAAATAAAATGACCTGTGAATCAATAATGAGGATTACTTTTATTTTTATTTTAATTTAAAAAAAGAAAAAAAAATTGTAGTTGCTCCTGGATATTAGAGGTGATTATAGCAAATGTTACTTTATATGTACAATTAAAGGCATTTATGCAGTTTTTGCATAATGATAATAATTAAAAACCATTTATTTTAAAGGCTGCTTAAAAGTTAATTTTCACCCAGGTGCATACTGAAATCTATAATTAGCTTTCCTTCAGAGGAGGTTTGATCATGGAAATGTACCAAATCATTTTTGGAGGCAGAAGTTCCTTGCTAAAATGGAATTTTGCTTTTTAACTGTAGCTTGATAATAGTGTTAAAAATATGTAAGAAAAATATACTCAGGAATATTTTTTTAAATGAATGTATAATCATAACACATTTATTTTCTTGATGATATAGAAGTAATATTTTCATATTATTTGACTGAGAAATTCCTGGTACCTAGAAATTTTACTTTTTACATTGAATATATGTTCACAACAATCACAAAGCATAATTTTCTGTGTATCCTGTCATTCTACTAACCTCGAAATCAATGTTATTTCTGTAATGAATTCTTACTTATAATTCATTTTTCTACTTGCTATACATTTACCA